ATCGTGTTAAGAGTTTCCTTAAGAAAGAGGTTCTAAAACATTTACGTAAAGCGTGATGTAAACTCTCTCCAGATCTTGTAACAATGCCGCTGTCGTTGAACAAGGAGGCATCGTCACACTGAACAGGGAGGGAGGGGATGTCACTCTGTCACTCACTGTCACCCCCTCCATCTCCCCCTCACATTTGAATGCTCACAAGTGCCAAAGATACTCTTCAGTTCTCGTGCCATCTTTGGGGTGCCAATATGCAGACAAATTGCTGCATCTTTCTTCCCCTTCTCTCCTTTCTGCTAACATTCCTCCCTCCCTCCACCCGCTTTTCTTATTCTCCTCCTTCTCCTTCCCTTTGCTACTCCTCCTCCTCCTCCTGCACTACAACTAAGTCGCAGAAATGGCAGGAAAACAGGAAAGGGGAGAGTGGAAAAGTAAAAGATTCGAGATAAAAAATTTTAGGAGGCATAGTGGTAGAAGGGACGTAGTGGGAGGGAGGAAGAGATCAGTACAGGGAAGGGGGGGAAGGCATGAGAGACTAGTGGAATGAAAAGGAGCAGGTAAATAATGTAAGCATGTCGTGGAGAGAAAAGGAACGAGCAGAGACAGAGGCAACGAGAAGGAAGAGACGTATATGGAAGAGGAGGAGGAGCTAAAGAAAGTGGAGGAGAGACTTGGGGGTGAGGAAGGTATGCGGGTGAGAAAAAACAGACAAGCGGGGCAGGTGTGGAAGAAAAACAAGGGAGAGTTCTGTGGTGAATTAAGTGGAGAGGGAGAAGAGTGTACTCGCCTAGGTGTGCTTGGATAGTCTAGCATTTGAACGGGTTTGTGTGTGTGTGTGTGTGTGTGTGTGTGTGTGTGTGTGTGTGTGTGTGTGTGTGTGTGTGTGTGTGTGTGTGCGCGCGCGCGTGCGTGCGTGTTTGCGTATGTGTGTGTGTGTGTGTGTGTGTGTGTGTGTGTGTGTGTGTGTGTGTGTGTGTGTGTGTGTGTGTGCTCGTGCGTGCGAGTGAGAGTGTATGAACATATACGTATACATACCTATGTGTACCTAATTATGCAATATCATTTATGAAATTTCATTACGGCCTCACGTCAGCAAAATCGAATTAGAATCCATGAAGGATATAAATATTGATAGCTACTTAGCTATACAAGAGGTTTGCTGAATGCAAAATTACCACACCTATTGATCGTAAGACTACAAATCATCTTCTCTAATTGGAATCGATCCTACCTCATCAATTCTATAATTAATCACATCGTTGAAAATAATCATGGTGTTTGGCCCTGTCGATACCTCGTTGCTCTACCTGGCTCCCAAGGCACAGGTAAGGACCAAGGAGGATGTCATGCCAGCTACCTGCAATTAACACCAAATGCGACGTGTTAGGGGACCTCCCCATTGGTGCGCATACTTGAAGCGCATAACTTTGGAGGAGGTTGATGGCTTTACTTGTCATGTCTCACTGTGTCCCTGTTGTTGTATGTGGCTGGCGCGACGAGAAATTGATGGGTGGAACAGAGGGAGGGAGGGAGGGAAGGGGGAGATGGAGAGTGGTTGAAGATGCGGGGAGGGGTTGAGGGATGTGGGAAGGGGGGGCAAGGGTAGGGAGAAAGAGAGGGAAATGCATCAACCACAACAAAGCGATACACCATTACCCAGGGCTTCTCCACGGCAAAATATGGATCAGTAAATAGCTTGGAACGGCAGAAGGTTCTGCCAAAGGCAAGTTTCTAAATATTCCCAGCAGGAGGAACGTGCCTCTGTTGAACACCATCAGCCAACTGTACTCTGCCTTGTGTCTTTAAGGAGTGTACTGTGGAACCGATCATCATTACCATCTTGAGAATCAGACAATCACATCACTATCACAATACCATCTCACAACCCTTGAGGGATGAAGAGGGAATGTGATCACTACGTATATGATACAAAGGGGGAAGGGGGCAGCCTTTTTAAAACAAGAGGTTACAATTTGAAGCTGGAAACACAGGAATCAAAGAAATATCATGAAATATTCGGACCCTGGACGGGTGGGCAATAAGTGGAATGGCCTGAAAGAGAGGTTGTAGAAGCGATCTTTGGCCACAAGTTTAACGTTAGATTTGATAAAGAATTCAAAGGTCAGGATAGGTCAGTTATAATGCAACGTTAAGAACAAAGTATATTGGCGACGGATAAAGAGCTAGAATCTCACTTTCTCGCAATCAGTTTTAGCTAAGCACTGTTGTGTAAGCATGACGCCACTACCACACCACCACCACCACCACTACCACCACCACCAGTATCACACCATCACCACTACCACCACCAGTATCACCTCATCACCACTACCACACCACCACCGCCAAACACTACCACTATCACATACGTACACTATCACACGCCAACACTACCACACACCACCACTACCACCACCACCACACACCACCACACCACAACCACACACCACCACCACACACTACCACCACACACTACCACCACACACTACCACCACACACCACCACCACCACACACTACCACCACCACACACCACCACCACACACCACCACCACACTACCACCACACACCACCACCACACAACCACACACCACCACCACACACCACCACCACCACACACTACCACCACACACCACCACCACCACACACCACCACCACACACCACCACCACCACCACACACTACCACCACACACCACCACCACACACCACCACCACCACCACACACCACCACCACCACACACCAACACACACCAACACCACACACTACCACCACAACACACCACCACCACCACACACCACCACCACCACACACACCACCACACACCACCACCACCACACACCACCACCACACTACCACCACCACACACTACCACCACACACCACCACCACACCCTCGCAGTAAGGCACACATCTCCATCACCCACACTTATTAACCACCATTTAGACGTTCCATCTGCTCGCACGCTACTTTGCCTGCAATACCTTCTAATTTAGACACCTTTTTTTCTTTTACAGCTCCCGGGTATAAAATGATGAGTTTGTTGAATTATCCGCGGGCTCGCCGCACCCATTATTTACCAAGAGCGAAGGTGTAGTAAGACCAACGAGGGAAAACTGCAATAAAACATGGCAAATGGGCCGCACAAAACACACACCACAGTAATTAATATGCAATAAAATGTCGCCACCAGAGAAACGCCAGAAAGTCTGCCCATTTCCTCGAGAAAGTGAGTGATGGGAAGGCTTAAACTATTTCCCCCTTCCCTTCACGCCTAGTTATTATTGCATATTTGCCAGTTTTCCCAGGCCTACCTTCTTTGATTTCATTTTTTTAGGCCTCTTGTCACGTAGGTTTGTGGATAATACACAGGTTTTATGCATGATGACTTGGCGCTTTCCCCCTCCCCTGGTAGTTACCTTCCCTTCTGTTATTAACCTATCATGCTTTTGTTTTCCGGTTCATACTCAGATCACTGCCCCACCTACCCATAACACTCCCTCACCTACCCACCACTCCCCCCACCCCCACACCACCTAACCACCCACCACTCCCCCACCTACCCATAACACTCCCTCACCTACCCACACCACTCCCCCACCTAACCACACCACTCCCCCACCTACCCATAACACTCCCTCACCTACCCACACCACTCCCCCACCTACCCATAACACTCCCTCACCTACCCACACTCACTCACCTACCCACACTCCCCCACCTACCCATAACACTCCCCCACCTACCCAACACCTTCCAGGTCAGCGACCAGTATGATCATGGAACATGCTGTTGGGAGCTCTGATATCGACAAATCTCTGGTGGCAATAAAGTGCCTTCCATCAAAGGAGTGCTGACAGCTTTATGACACCAACATGCGCGAGAATTAAGTAACTCCAGGTCCCTCAGGAGCCGCTTGTCAGCTGTTCTTTAACCTCCCTCGTAACTCGGCCTGATCTTCTGAAGCCTCGGAGAAACGCACACACAATGGCTGTACATTTTCGTGTTCTTCAGCACGTTATCAGAGGCTTACTCCGTTCAGTAAGTCTAAGGTGTAGGTTGAAGAACACGACAGTTGTCAGATATTTCCTGTTCTCCTGTAATTACTTGGCATTTATGTCTAACTGAAGTGTATAGTAGAAAATCCCACATTTACAGTGCACGTAGTTATTTTCCGTCTGAACTGAAGTCTTTCTGCAAGTCTGAGAAAGCCTACGGTTCAGCCATATATGCATATATATATATATATATATTATATATATATAATATATATATATATATATATATATATATATATATATATATATATATATATATATATATATATATATATATATATATATATATATATATATATATATATATAGCCAGAACGCATAGCCTATATTTGCCTAATAAGCCAAGTTTTCCTGAATTAATATATTTTCTGTAATTTTTTCTTATGAAATATAGCTACCCATTTCATTATGTATGAGGTCAATTTTTTTTTATTGGAGTTAAAATTAACGTAGATATATGAACCTACCAACCCTACCTACCTAACCTAATATCTTAATATATAGGTGGCAGAAAAATTTGGTTATATGCAGGTATAGGTAGTCGAAAAATAATTAAGTCATGAAAACTTGGCTTATAGGCAAATATATAGTAGTGCGTTCTGGCTACTAGGTATATATGCATATATATAATATATATATATATATATATGCATATATATAATATGCATATATATAATATACATATATATATGCATATATATCTTATGCATATATATGGTATATGACTATATATAATATACTATATATATGCATATATTCTTATTGGAATATGACTACACTGAATAGGACCATGGATATACATGCAAACATTCCTCACCCCCACCTCGGATCGAACCAGCAATCTCTGAGCGAGATTCAGGCACCAGACCCTCGTGATCCTGTTCAAGCAAAGTAGTCGACATTGTTACCTATGATGGGAGCCCAGTCGCTGGCTTGGGAGGAAGTACTTACGTTCTTGGCCCAAATGTACTTGGTGGTGCCTCACAATGCGAGAACTCGCTCCACCAGTTCGCTGTATCCGCGGTGGAGAGTGTATGGTGCCTGAATCTTGCCCAGAGATTGCTGGTTTGATCCCAGCTGGGGGTGAGGAGCGTTCACATATATTATATATGTGTATATATATATATATATATATATATATATATATATATATATATATAATATAATATATATATATATATATATATATATATATATATATATAATATATATATAATATAATATATATATAATATAATATATATATATAATATAATATATATATATATATAAATATATATATATATTTATATATATAATATGAGACAATTTTAACAAGTTAATTAAATATATTTCTGTATTCGATTCTTTTTTTTAAGTAGTTATCACTGTGTAGAACCTTAACATGCGTCTGAGAATGTGCCTAGAGCGATGACTCCTCGCTTCACCTTATGCCGTAGAGAACAACTATGAATTATCACTTACTGGAGGTCACGTTTGGCTTCCTCAAGGCTGGAGTGTTCCAACTTAAACTCGAGTCGTTGGATAAGTCTGTTCTTCTGCTCGAGTTGTTCCTCCATGGCGTGCATCTGTGCGGCTGTGGCCTCCTTGACCCCGGAGAGCGCCGCCTGCAGCCGGGAGATGTCCTCGACCAGCTTGGACACCTGTGGGGTAGAACATGGCCTTGTTAATACACTTGCCATAGCGGCACCCCGGGATACCTGTGGGACAGAGATGACACCTCCATGGAAGCCTTGGACTCACATTAACGGTTAAAACCTCTGTTATTCACCGTAATTGACTAATGGAACAATACAGGTAAATTTGACAACAATAACTTTGTAAATATTAACAACTATTTACTCGAAATATTCAAGGTGTAATGAATAAGAGATTCAAGTGTGTTAGCCGGCGTGGGAGATTTAGAAGCCCATAAAGTGCCATAAAACATATTCTCACACAAGCCGCCACCGTGACCAAACACAGTTAGAACACTGAACCCTCTCAGTAATAGCACTACATTACCACTTAACTAGCCTTCAGCACCACCACAGTGCAGAGTGGGCGGGGGTTTTGTGTGGAAGGGGGATGGTGAATGGATCAACAGGGTAGTGTATGGAGGCTGGGTGATTGTGTAAGATGGGTAGGGGGAAATATAGAGTGGTTGGGAGTTATTCAGAGTAGAGGGGGGGGGCGGGTAGAGTGAATCGGGGTTGTGTATAGAGGGTAAGGGGGGGGTGGGTCCGTGTATACTTCACACCCTCGCTGTCCACCACACGGCTACTGTGCGGATCGTCCGAAATCACAAAGAAATTAAACGTCCTGCTCCGTAGGCTACTGAGTCAGCCACCTGTAATAAATTCCCTGGGCTTTTGAGCGAACTTTTTGTCAGAGAGTGTACAGCAGGACTTTTGTACGGCCACTGATGGCCTTACTCTTAATGTTCCTCCTGCACACGGGCGCTCTTGCCCCGGACTCTATATCCTCTTCCTCCTCTTTCTAATTTTCCACTTCTTTCTCCTCCCTTCATCATTCTTCTACTCCCACTATTCCTATTCATCGTGTTCTTCCTCCTCCTATTCCGCCGCCTTATATTTGTCCTCGTTACTCCATGCTCTCCTCCTTGCCCTGAGCGGTTGGCAGTACCCACCAGACTCTAATATTAAGATAAAAGACATGATGGGGGAGATTGTGACAGTAGAGGCACCTCACCTTCCCTCACTACACCAGCCATGCTCCCCTCACTACACCAGCCATGCTTCTCTCACTACACCAGCCATACTTCCCTCACTACACCAGCCATACTTCCCTCACTACACCAGCCATACTTCCCTCACTACACCAGCCATACTTCCCTCACTACACCAGCCATACTTCCCTCACTACACCAGCCATACTTCCCTCACTACACCAGCCATGTTTCCCTCACTACACCAGCCATGTTTCCCTCACTACACCAGCCATACTCCCCTCACTACACCAGCCATACTTCCCTCACTACACCAGCCATACTCCCTCACTACACCAGCCACTCACTACACCAGCCATACTTCCCTCACTACACCAGCCATACTTCCCTCACTACACCAGCCATACTTCCCTCACTACACCAGCCATATCACTTCCCTCACTACACCAGCCACTCACACCAGCCACTCCCTCACTTCCCTCACTACACCAGCCACTACACCAGCCATACTTCCCACTACACCAACCACTCACTACCAGCTCACTACACCAGCCATGTTTCCTCACTACACTACACCAGCCATACTTCCCTCACTACACCAGCCATGTTTCCCTCACTACACCAGCCATACTTCCCTCACTACACCAGCCATGCTTCCCTCACTACACCAGCCATACTCCCTCACTACACCAGCCATGTTTCCCTCACTACACCAGCCATACTTCCCTCACTACACCAGCCATGTTTCCCTCACTACACCAGCCATACACCAGCCACTACTACACCAACCATGCTTCCCTCACTACACCAGCCATGTTTCCCTCACTACACCAGCCATACTTCCCTCACTACACCAGCCATGTTTCCCTCACTACACCAGCCATGTTTCCCTCACTACACCAGCCATGCTTCCCTCACTACACCAGCCATGCTTCCCTCACTACACCAGCCATGTTTCCCTCACTACACCAGCCATGCTTCCCTCACTACACCAGCCATGCTTCCCTCACTACACCAGCCATACTCCCCTCACTACACCAGCCATACTCCCCTCACTACACCAGCCATGCTTCCCTCACTACACCAGCCATACTCCCCTCACTACACCAGCTCAGCTTCATACTTGCCCTACAACAATAGCACTAATGTGTAACTTTAACCTTGCAGTTGGTTATATGACACAAGATCTCTTATATAGTGCAAAAGACTAAAAGCAGCAGATCTGTCCAAATATAGCAGCCTGACAGTAAAAAAAAAACTTGTGTGTAAAATATGGACACAATTATATTCCCTCTAAATTGGCAACTACATCGCACTAGTGTCAAAGTCGAGGATTTTACCGCGAGGGGAAACCTACAAAGTTGTACCTGATACGAGGTAATTAAGTCCCCCTGGTGGCAGGTGACAGGTAAACTATGAACGTAACAGGTTCTGATCCCAAGCCTCACCTCTGTCTTATCTGCAAAGGATCGGATCGGTGCCAAGACCCTGGTGTTTATTTATATCGTTTATGAAAAGCTTATCAGTTTTATGCCCAACCGAACCATTCATTAGGGTCCATTCCCTGACGGGTGTGGAGCGCATTCTCACCTTTATATCGAGCGTGCCCAGGTGCGCTAATTAATGCTCACGTCTCTGGCTGAGGTGGTCAGAGGCAATAAATGTGGCAACCTTGAAGAAATTACCAGTCTATTCTTTAGCTCGGAGCCCACACATGGCAAATGTTGAAAGAGCTCAGGCAAGCGGAATGACACTAGGGGAAGAGAGGGATTGGGTAAGGAAGATAGAGGAGGGAAAGGGAGGGTGAAAAGGAGAGAGAGAGAGAGAGAGTTGGTGATAGAGGGGTAGAGAAAGATGGTAGAGTTGAATGATGCTTTGTGGATCGGCGTGTGCTTGAACGAATAATGTTTGATCTGTTCGGCTGTTGTTGACTGATTTTTTTATGTATAGCTGTCTGCTTGATTGTTTTGCTCTGTTTGTTTTATATTCTCCTCCCCCCCCCCTCTCTCTCTCTCTCTCTCTCTCTCTTTTTCTCTCTTTAAGACAAACCTACAAATAGATATTTGATAATTCACTTTTTTCTCTGAGTACAACTATTGACTTCAAAGAATTCTGGACTTTCAGACACACTGCGACAATTCCCATTAAACAGCCAATATATCTTCCCTTATAAGACCAAAACGTTATCCGAATTTCACTCTCGACCAGAGCCTGGCTTTTCGGAAGGATGCGAACTGGGCCCTTAACAATACGTCTTCCTCATACAGTATGCCCTGTGCGCTTCCTTTCCTTGGACTCCTTCCCATATGATTCTCTCACAGTTATCCATTTTTCCTCCCTACCATTTCTCTTCTCCGCTGGTAACCAAGTCCTGGAGATGTAAGTGTTCCGTCGAGTATCAAAAGGGCTGTGACTCCTGCCAGACTCGGTCTCGCTTCATGCAGGTCGGCGTTCAATTCCCGACCGTCTAAGTGGTTGAGCACCATTCCTTTCCCCCGTCCCATCCCTAATCCTTATCCTGACAACTTCCAAGTGCTATATAGTCGTAAGGGCTCGACGCTTACCCCTGATAGTTCCCTTCCTGTCAGACTGTGAACCACTACGTCTGACAAGCCTGACTGACCAGACCCAGGAGGTCCGGTCAAGAGACCGGACCTCGGTGCAACAGAGACCAGACCGCAGAGACATTGATCCCCATAACCAACAGAAGGTGATACTACCAACCGCTTAAGAAACCGGTTCCGGAGCTTATCCGCCCCTCCCCGTCACAGAGCTCTGCCTCACCCGTCACATAGAGGCCCCACACACGCTGCCCGTCACACCGACACGCTTCAGTAAGCATAGCGTGATGATGGACCGTAACCGCTGGACGAGGGGGGTCTCTCTCTCTCTCTCTCTCTCTAGTCACTCATTTTGACCAAAGTGGCACAGGTGCGAGACGGACGCTTACCTGTGTTTATTGTGGGTTATAATTGATGTGGTCAGGCGCTATGTGAGCTTCCTGTCTGAGCTCAGGCAGGTGTGATTGGTTGATTACCTGACTGATTGTTCGATACGCTTTAGTTGGCTTATTGCTTGGTTGATTAATTGTATGTTTGGCAGACTATTACTGACTTATTGCTTGGTTGATTGGTTGTGAGAGAATGGAGTTTCACGTCTGTCCTAGGGGTGCTTGTATTATGTGCCTGCATTAAGTACTTGTAAGTAGTATACTAAACCTATCAATATAGTTGTGATCTGTTAGAGTTAACCTATCAGCCAGCCAGCTCTCTTGAGCTGACACTCCGTAAAAAATGCAACTGTTGAGCAACCAGATACGTACTAACCCAACCACCCCACCTAACATACCGAGCCAATGCATAGAAAACGTCATTATACGGTGCCTTAATTATTATTTTTCTTAACTTAATACGTTGCATTTTAAACGTATTCGACGCCCTAATTCCAGCTCCGAGTGCGGACGCGGCAAGACCATGTTTATATTGGTGACTGGTAATAAATGCTCACGTCGGGAGCCAGGCAGTTGTATGAATTTGTCTGTGATATATCAACCAACTGTTGTATATTGTATATTTCTTGTTTGTTATACTGGTCGAGGACTGGTGTTGGTCACCGCTGATATTGGTCGCTGCCTCCGCTCCTTTACTCTCTTCCATCGGTCACTTTGGCTTGTAGTTTTGTGTTTCAAATTGGGGTGTTCTTTTTTGTTGGTTAGGTGTTGCTTCATGTTTGTGGCTGTATTTGTTGACTGTTGCTTCATGTTGGTGGCTGTATTTGTTGACTTGCTTCATGTTGGTGGCTGTATTTGTTGACTTGCTTCATGTTGGTGGCTGTTTTTGTTGACTTGTTTCATATTGGTGGCTGTTTTTGTTGACTTGTTTCATGTTGGTGGCTGTTTTTGTTGACTGTTGCTTCATATTGGTGGCTGTTTTTGTTGACTGTTGCTTCATGTTGGTGGCTGTTTTTGTTGACTGT